GGGAGGGAGGGAAGGAGGAAAGCAGAGAAAGGAAGGAAGGAATGGGGAGGAGAAGGGAGGGGGAGGGAGCAGAGGGAGGGAGGGAGGGAGGAAGGAAGGAAGGAAGGAAGTCTTTTTAATGGGACCACTGATTTTAGACTGCTGTTACATCAACATATCTCTTTTTTTCCCTTCTGTGTCTATAATAATCTCCTTTCGATCCTGGATCCCACTTATGTTTCCTGAATTAAATGACTAAATGAGAGATAAAGTTAGAAGTCAAATTATTTGGGGGGGGGGCACTTTTTCCCCAACCTCATTCAGTATGCTGCACATTTCAAAATGATTGATCAAATTAAATGCAACCAAGTGCCACATACTAGTAGATGCCTTCCTGTTGAGGGATTTTGTTACTTGTTAGCTAACGTAGTTACTTTGTGTTTTGCTTTGTATTTTTAGCAGGGTTACTCTGTATTTTAATTTGACTTACTTTTCTCTCTTTTAAAATGGTGATGAGGTTTTATGAAAACCATTAAGACTGGAATGGGGGGGGGGGGGGACTCTTTATGGATTGATTTGATCGCTTCTAATATTTTGCTAAAGGAAAAGATAAGCTACAGAAGGATGTGTGGATACTATCTGCTGGTAAGGAAAATCTGTTAATGACAACGCATCTGGTTTGCTTCTTCATGAATTTCAAACAAACTTCGTACTTGATTTACTGGGCAAGGAGCGGTTCCTCTTATCTTGTCCAACCAACTTTCCTCTTTCATTTTTCTTTCTTTCTTAGAAAGGAACTAAAAAGGGGGATGTAAGCTAAGCATCGGGGTTCCCTCTTTGAATGAGAGGAATGCCTTTTGTCTGAATATTTTGATAAATTGAAATTAAATGATTTTTCTGTCTCCTTGGAAAACACATACGATGAGTCACGAGCCTAAAAGAGCCATATTTGGCCTTGGCCTGTCTCATACAGCAAGTTATAAGGACATAATTTAAACCACAACCAACAATTTGTATGCACAACAGTGTGTCATTTGTCCATTATATGGCAGCTAATTGTTGCTCTCAAACTTAGTTTTTATTACAGATGTGCAGCCAGAAAATGTTGATTTCCCCCAAAGATATTTTGTGTGTGTTGTATTCACACGTATTCACATCTCAGATGAAGACTTGGGGGAAAAAAAGAAGTATAATTCAGGCACATAGAAACTTCTATTCATCTTCTTTTAACAAACCCATAATCCCTTGCAGGGTTCAGTCTGGGCAACTGAATGGAGCAAGTATATTAATGGTCGAATGCCCTTCCTGTCATCGATGCAGAGTTTTGTTCAGTGTGCCCAGAGAGAGAGAGAGAGAGAAATATCTGCCTCTACCGAGGATCGATCTCACAGCCTCCTGATTGTGAAGCGAGAGCACCGCCTCCAGGCCACCACACCATTCTTTGCATGGAAGCTTCTATTAGTCCTGCAAATTTCAACAAGTACCCTAACGCCTTGCTACAATTCTGTTTCTTTGAAATCAGCACGGTCTGAAGCTCCTTTTGGGATTTAATGTGTGTAATAATACTGGCCATTAAAGGGCAAAGCCTTCAGTTACAAATGGAACTATAGATGCCAGCCGTATTAAGATAAACCGTAATCGTAAACCAACTAAAAAAGACTATATTTATATTGCAGAACCAAAAGTGTGTGTGTGGTGGTGGGGGAAGCATAATGTTCAGACTGTGGTATATTTGATCATAATAATATTATTATCACCCAACCATGAAGTCATCGCCAGGCACAAAAGAAAATACAACTTAATTTTACCATCCAGCATCTCTCTACAGATGGGATAATACCAGGGAACAGTTTCAGATGAAATTCAGATTGCCAGGACTCAATGTTATGTTAGGGCACTTAGTGAGGTATGACAATTCCCAAATAAGCCATAGTGTCGTGCCCCTGTTGGAATCTGATTCCGAGGGGGAGGTGGAGCAGCTGACAGGGAGTGGGAATGTGGCTCCGGGGGCTGTGGAAGAAACTGGGGAAGGGCACAGTCTGGCTGGGCATTCAGAGGAAGACCCAGGGCCACCACCTCTTCATTCTAGGGCACACAGGGAGGAATGGAGAAGGGAGCAACGTGGGTTATGGGGGAGAAAAAGGCCCTGATTCCCTTCATTAGCTGCAGCTGGGAAAACAGGATTTTAAAAGGGTATTTGCACACAGCACCTTGCTGGAAACAAAGCGTGAATTATCTTTTTTTTAATCAAGTCTTATCTGGGTTCTGGCATCCTCCCAGCTGTGTGTGTTTTGTTATCTTTTGGAAGTCTGCAATTCCTTATCCTGCCCTGTCTCGTTAATTGCTACAGACGTGGTTTGTGTTGGTTTTTATAATTTTATAATTTAGATGTACTCTGGGTTCAATTGAATTTCTTCCCTTTAAAAACTGTTCTCGGGAGAGATATTTTTCTCCAGCCGATGATAACTGGACATTGGAGGTCAAATTGGAGGAATTAAAGGGACTTTACCTACTTTTATGACTTTGTTGCTTTTGTGCCACACCCCGGGTCATCACACATCATATATTAATTAGTTTCAGTAATTACACATATAAACACATTGCCATTTTCATGGTGATTCCTCCACTTTACCCTTGTCTACACAGGTAATCCTCGAGTTACAACCATAATCGAGCCCAGAATTTATGTTGCTAAGTGAGACATTTCTTCAGTGAGCTTTGCCACCATTTTACGACTTGCCTTGCCACTGTTGTTAAGTGAATCATTGCATTTGTGAAGTTAGCAACAGGGCTGTTAAGTAAATCTGGATTCCACATTGATATTTTACTTGTCAGAAGGTTACCCTGGAACAGTACAACCATCATAAATATGAACCAGGTGCCAAGCATCCCAATTTTGCTCACGTGACTGTGGGGATGCTGCAAAGGGTCGTAATCATGAACAATGGTCATAAGTCACTTTTTTTCAGTGATGTTGTAACTTTGAGTGATCACTAATGAACTGTTGTAAGTAAAGGACTACCTGTATTGTGAGAACCTGTATTTTTTTTTAAAAAAAAGGACAGAACTGCAGGACCATAATTCTCTTTCTCTTCTTCTATTTGAGAAAATGAGTAGGAGAATTTTTTAAAAAAAACAATTCCAAAACAACTTTCCCAATGCCTTTGAAATCAAAGCTGGAACACTGCTGGTGTTTTAATGGATCTCGACTTATACGCAGATGATAAACACAAAGCTTTGAGCTTAAATTAAATGCATCGAGCCACACAAAATCGCACAACTGCATTAGCAAAAAGGTGGAGGAAAAGTATTCAAATACTTACTTTGACGAATCTATGAAGTATATTACAAGAGCACCAATACTAAGAGCAAAGACTAAAACAACCTGTAAAAGAAAAAGAAGAAGAAGAAGAAGAAACAACTGTCATTTTCCATTGCGGTGTCAAAGCATTTATCATTCAAACAAAAGAATAGGAAAGGACATGAAATTTGCTGGTGCCATTTTAATGGTCTTCTGCTTCACAGAAGTCAACATTTGCACACAAGGCTTGACAAAGCTAAGGACATGTTTAAAAGATATGCAACCTGACATACCCCCTAAGCACTGCGGTACATGAGGCAGAAAAATCCATGTTATGTCCAGTGGTGCTAGTATAATAATAATAAACCTGATAATTGACCATTTGCTGCCCTGTAATATTATGGCAAATCCACCAGTTAAGGTACCTTGCCTCCCCTTGCAGGATCAATATTAATTATCTTAATTAGAGACAGACATTTAAAGGAGGATATTTGGAGATTAAGGTTAGATTGTGGGGTCCTTGGTGCTCTCTGAACTTGGTTTTTTTTTTTCCCCTTTGCAGATATGAAATGTTTGCAAGAAAACAAACAGGCTCAGAGAGCACCAAAGACCTCATTAGAATCAAAGGTGCTTTTTAAAGAGGCAACTGGACTTTCTTTTTCTTTGAAGACCTTTTGCTTCTCATCCAAGGAGCTTCTTCAGTCCTGTGCTTTTCCTTTTTCTTTGAAGACCTTTTTGCTTCTTGTCTGAGCTGGAGAAGCTTCTTAGATGAGAAGCAAAAGGTCTTCAAAGAAAAACAAGGAAGTCCAGTCGCCTCTTGAAAAAAGCATCCAACCAGGATTTAGATGACTGATAATCTCCAAAGACCCCATTAGACATTTCTCATGGGAACATTCACAGGTTTCAAGAGAGGTAAAAGTAAAGGTTTCCCTTGACCAATCATGTCCGACTCTAGGGGGCAATGTTCATCTCCGTTTCTTAGTCAAAGGAGCCAGCATTATCCAAAGTCTCTTCCATGGTCATGTGGCCTTCATGATTATATGCCGAGGCACACGGAACTCTTGTTACCTTCCCACCAAAGTAGTACCTATTTATCTACTTGCATTTGCCTGCTTTCAAACTGCTAGGTGGGCGGGAGCTAGAGCAAGGAACAGGCTGCTCACCCCATCGCGCAACGCTTGGGTCTCCAACCCAGGGTGTCAGCTTTCCACCCGACAATCTCTTTATCTTTAACTGTTGACCCATCGCTATTTCTACATGACCCTCTTGTTGGGAAATTACCAATTGTGATATGGAAGGGCCACACTCTCTGTAATAGACTCCTATCTATACATTTTCCACAAATATCTCCCATTCTCATCTTTCAAAACTAGGTATATTGTAAATATTTTTATTAAATTATCTCCTGGACAGAACATGGGAGAATTGGGTGGGTAAGAGATACGGTCTCGTGGAGTCAATATCTAAAAGGAAAGAATTATATCTCTGGATAATCTTTTCAGTGATTCTTTATGAATTGCCAGAATTTTTTTCAAGCTACATAATTTATTCTAGTATCATAGCAGCCTTGTTCAAGCAGAACAATTTAACCTGAAAATAAAATGGGCAGAAATAAACTATTTTCATGTTTTAAGAATTTGACTTCCTGGAGAGAAAAGTTGACAGTTGCAAGTTGATGGCTGTTTTGAGATATTATTTTTTTCCATTTATAACACCAAGAGCAATTTTTATAATGATGCATTTATTCTAAATACAGCATATTAGTTCCATTCTTATTACAAATTCTAGGTAAAGCCGTGGAGGTTGGTGTTTTCTTTAAATATATGTGCCTTTGTGATAATATAAGCATAAGAGAAAATACTTCAAAAGCATTACACAGAGCTTTATAATAATTAATACTTTATATACAGAGACCCTATTCTTGTACAAGTGAGTTAATAGAAGCATAGGTTGTTAATCTCATTGAATGCAAGATACTTGTAAGGAGTAGAATAATGTTTTGCCTAAGCCTTGGTTTAAACATATCAAAGCTTGCATAGGGAGAACTGAGAATGGTGTGAAACAATATAGTAATGAACAACCAATAACTGATAATTAAGAGCTTGAAAAAGTCCAGAAATATTTCATGAGAAGAGTTCTCCACTCCTCTACTCATTGCAGGATACCTTGTGCCACCAGACTTGAAACTCTAGACCTAGAAAATCTAGAACGACGACGCCTCCGGTCCGATCTAAATATAGTATATCAAATCATACTTTGCAATGTCCTACCTGCAAATGAATACTTCAGCTTCAATCATAACAATACAAGAGCAAACAATAGATACAAACTCAAGGTTAACCGCAACAAACTTGACTGCAGAAAATACGACTTCAGCAACAGAGTAGTCAATGTTTGGAATACTTTACCTGACTCTGTGGTTTCTTCCCCAAACCCCAAAAACTTTAACCTTAGACTGTCTACTATTGACCTCACCCGCTTCCTAAGAGGCCTGTAGGGGGCATGCATAAGCGCACCAATCGTGCCTACCACCCCTGTCCTATTGTTTTTTTAATTTTTCTTATAAGTATCTATCTCAAGTATTCAAAACTATATTTATTCTTATACCTGTATCTTGCAAGCAATTGACAAATCAAATAAAATGTAAAAAGAAATGTAAAAATGATTTCAAATGATGGAAAGAAAATTCAGCATGCTAGATCAAAATGGGAATCGCTTTCTAAAAACATAGATAGACAGATTATTAAAAGAATCATAAAATGTATTTATAAGAGTCATAGTGGCACAGTGGTAAGAGTGCAGTACTGCAAGCTACTTCTGCTGACTGCCAGCTGCCTGCAATTTGGCAGATTGAATCCCACCAGGCTCAAGGTTGACTCTGCCTTCCATCCTTCCAAGGTTGATAAAACGAGTACCCAGATTGTTGGGGGCAAGAGGCTGACTCTGTAAACAGCTTAGAGGCGGCTGTAAAGCACTGTGAAGCGGTATATAAGTCTAAGTTCTATTGCTATTATAAGCCCATAGCCATAATGGGTAGCAAAACCTACTTTAGGGAAAGGGCTCAAAGCCTCGGGAATTAAACAAGGTTTTATTTCCAATCTCCTATTTCACAGAAGAAATATATCAGAATTGAAAAAAAAAATATCAAGGAGTGCCTGAACTGGACAAAACAGGCAATGCTAGATGCCACGGAATGATTTTAAGGCAACTCCTTATCACCCATTAAACTCAGGGATGTCAGGATGAAATTTGACAGCTAAACATGCCTCTTCCACTCATTTCCTGCTAACTTCCTGTGACTAAGGAGAACAAAGAGTCCAAATGGATCAAAATCAATATTATACAAACAGGTTTACTCTCCAGGTATTCCTTTTCGAGGAAAGCAATATTAGGTAGAGGTCAGAATAGCATGGCAAACCAATCAAAGGCATGAGGGCATGAGTTAAGAAAAAGAACGGGCAGGAGGGGGAATGTGAATTTACCCCAAACCATTCACTACTTTTCTCCAAACTTTTCTATGCTTGCTTCCATCCACTGCTTGCGCACTGATTTTTGGCATCAAAACTTTTGGCTTCTTTCTTTCTACGATTCCAGCCACTCCATCCAATCATGACTTTCTCTTGACCCATTCATTCTTCCTTCACGTTTGTAAAAAGGATGTATGTAAAACTGAATGCCTCAAGCACAACACAGCTCATTCCAGCATAACCAATGCAACAGTGGTGGGATTCATTTTTTTTTTTTTACTACCGGTTCTGTGGGCGTGGCTTGGTGGGCGTGGCAGGGGAAGGATACTGTAAAGTCTCCAGTCAGAGATGGGATTTGCCAGTTCTGTAAACTACTCAAAATTTCTGCTACCGGTTCTCCTGAACTGGTCAGAACTGCTGAATACCACTTCTGCAATGCAAGCTAAACACAAGGATAACACTGCCATACATTGAAAACATCTCAGAAACAACAACAGACTATGACAACCAAACTGGATCACCAGAGCATACAAACCAAGTAAAGCCCAGTAAAACTTTTTTAGTAAACCGAAAGACTCAGGAGACCCCAAAAAACATGCATTTATTAGGAATTATTAGGAATTATTCACAACATACATTGTAAGGACTGGTTAACAGAGTTGGAAGGGATCTCAAACATTTCAACATTGATGAAGTCATGGAAAGAGATACGACCCAGCGAAGACTGTGAGAATTGGATCTACAAGTTATCCTTGAATTAAAACCAGGGTTGGGCCACTCGGGGTTTGCAGGAGTTCAGGAGAGCCCCCTAGCTAAGATTCTGTGCAGCTTGGAGAACCCCCCAAATCCCGCTCCTGACTGACCCTGCCCCGCCCATGCCGCCCCACCCAGGAGACCCCACATGGCCTGTTTTGGATGCAGGTAAGTACAAGGTGCACACAGAGGCTCAGAGAGGGTAGAAAACGGGCCTCCCAGAAGTTCGGGAGGGCTGGAAATGGGCCTGTTTCCAGCTTCCAGAGAGACTCCAGAGCCTAGGGAGGCCATTTTCGCCCTCCTGGAGGCTCAAGGAAAGACTCCAGAGCCCAGGAAGGGCAAAAATGCCCCCCTGACATGGTGCAGGAGGCTGACTAGGCCACGCCCACCCAGCAACCGAGCAGAGGTCCCTTTGCTAAAATTTTTGAAGCCCACCCCTGCTTCCAACAGTTCATTTAGGGACCGTTTTAAGTTACAAAGGCATTTAGAAAAAACAACATAGGGCCATTTTTCACAGTTATGACCTTCCTTCATGCTCCTGGGATCAAAATTCAGATGATTGGCAACTGGTTCATATTTACGATGGTCACAATGTCCCCTTTTGTGACCCCCTGACAAGCCAAGTCCATGGGGAAGCCAGATTCACCTAACAACCAGGTGGCTAACTTATCAACTGCAGTGATCCACTTAACAACTGAGGTGAGAAAGGTCGTAGCATGGGGCAAACACTCACTTGACAAAATGTCTCACTTAGCAGTCGAAATTTTGGGCTCAGTTGTCGTTGTTAAGCCAAGGATGATCTATACAATAATAGGCAGATCTTTTTGACAGACGCCATGTACAACTTTACAAACAACGGTTTTA